AGAGTAGGCGGAGATAAAGCCCAGAGAGGAGGAGGAGGATAATATACCCACAGAGGATGATAACTGCCATTGGGCTTCCGGATTGGCACAGGAGAATCGGTTGGCAGAAAGGGCTGATGGATAAACACAAGTAAACCCGCCATTGGAACCGCTCCCGAAAGAAGGGGGGAAGTTGCAAGAGACGACGGGGCGGCAACCGCCAGAGAGAGAAACAGCGGAATCGCAGGGATGAAGCACGCCAAATGCGCGTCGAAGGCAACAATGCCCTGTCTCCCCAGGAATGGGAGTCAGCGATGGGAAAGAATCCCACAGCGAGAACGAAATCAATGGGGTCATGCCCCTCAAAGACAATCAGATTAGGGTTCCGGCGAAGAAGAGCAATCGCCATTTCGTGAGATTTTTTGCAGCGACCCTTTACTAGCTAGATTTTATTTTGGTGAAGATTTTGTGTTTCTGAAATAAAAGAAAAGGATGGGCGGAATTTTGGAGGGCGGGGTACTCAAATTTTTTTGGGAGCCCAAAATGTACTCGAGCGCGGCATTTCTCCCGCCCACAAGCAGTCACGGGAAATTTCCCAAAGTCTGATTTCTTAACCTAAAGGACACGGGAATTGTTCCCCGTAATAAGTGAATCACCAACGATTACGGGAAAAAGAACTGTGGTTAATGTCCCGTGATGAAAAGTGATTTCTTTCGTAGTGGTCTCCTCCTCTCTCCCATCCATCTGAACCCTTTCCTTAGTCTCCTCCTAGCCCGTCACCGCCACCATGATCGATTCCACCACCAGCGTGTCCTATTGATGGCATAGCTAATAGAGAATTGTAAGTTCTCGTAGCGATGGAGCAGGGAAGAAGGAATGGAAGCAGATGTCGCCGCCATTGCAAGCATCCCGTGACAAAATCTATAACCGGTGCCGAAACAACAATCGATGCGATTTGGAAGGAACAGAAGAATTGGGCAAGGACGAGATAGAAAGAGTTGGGTTGGGAAAAGGGATAGTTATGGAAAAGAAAGACAAATAATGAGAGGGATAAACCCACATTTGAAGATTTTTAAAATTCTTAATTGTAAAAACTTTGGTTCAATCCAAACGCAGAATTGTTTTAAAATCCTATATAATGAGTGATTGTTTTAAAATTCCTCGCTACAATCCCTTATCCAAACCATCCCAAGTGTTCACTAAAGCCGTATTAAATGGGCCAGAGTCAGGCCCAATTGGATCCAATGATTTCGGACCTATCCCTTCACGGGAAAGGAAACACTAGCAGCGCGGTGAGAGCTCGAACATTCAACCAGCGAACTATCCGTTACCTTCTCCAACGGCTACACGCAAAATTCTTTTTTGAAACTTCAGAGACCCCAAAATCCCCAATCTCCTTTCATAGTTCATACTCTCCGCTTGGAGCTTTCTCCCGTCTCTTCACTCTTCCTCTTTCTCTCTCCACTTCATTGAGCATCCGATCTCTCGTCTCTCAAATTCTAGATTTCCATTCAAAATTTCCCAAAATCCCGCCCAAAGATCCAAGCTTTCTCTCCTCTTTCCACTCTCGCTCAGAGATGGCTCCGACGCCATCTTCTTCCTCCAAATTGAACCCTACCCATCACTCTTTCAAGACTCCCCAATCCAAACAGCGCCTCAATTTCACCCCCGGTAGAACTCCCAACCCCCAACCCTCGCCAAACCCTAATCCCGCCGTCAGAGAAGTCCAGCCGATCGACCACCCGATCGAGGTCATCGGACGCATCAGGGATTTCCCCGACCGGAAGGAGAAGCCGGTTTCAGTGTTGACCGTGAACCCCTACGGCGAGACAGTCAGAGTCCGGGCAGAAATCGGCTACAGGGACTTCACCCTCGATGGGGTTTCTCTGTCGGAGCAGGAGGACCTTGATTCGTTCTACAAGAAGTTCATTGAATCGAGGATTACTGGGGTGAAATTGGGGGAGAAGTGTACGATTATGATGTATGGGCCGACAGGTTCGGGGAAGAGCCACACGATGTTTGGGTGTCCCAAGCAGCCAGGGATAGTGTACAAGGCTTTGAAGGATATTTTGGGGGAAGGGGGAGGAGAAGAGAAAGGAAACCACGAGGAGAAGCTGGGGCTGATGGCTACTTTCGTTCACGTCACTGTTCTGGAGATATATAATGAGGAAATTTATGATCTTTTATCCAGTAATGGCGGGACTGGAGGGTTTGGAATGGGGTGGCCTAAGGGTGGCAGTGCCTCGAAGGTAAAAACGAGTTATCATACCTCCTATGTTGGAGCTTCTGATGGGCTTTCCTTGCTTGTTTTTATTGAGTTGGAAAGTTAGGACTTGCTGCTCTCTCCCCTAGTTTTTTTTTTTGGTTCGAATGGGACTTCATGTAATCTCCTGGTAATGTTTCAGTTTGTTGAACTAGCGTACTAGATAGCTTCTTCTTCCTTACTTTGTTTTCTTGCTTTTGCTGTGTCAGAACTTCAGTGACAGCTATAGATGCATTTGGCTAGTTATCTCTCAGGTTCTCTAGGGATCGTTCTGTCCTTATAAGCATACTCTGGGTTGCATATCTGTTCTTGTTAGTTGAATTAACATGTTGGTTCTGTATTTTACTATGTTTGCTTTCACTGTATGAGAACTTCTGAGCCAGCTAGATGTATTAGGCTAGGTTCCCTGTTGTCAGGTGAACCTTAGCAGTTCATTATTGCCTTTGGCTTATGAGCAGAATTTTGCAGGCAAGACTCGAAGTAATGGGGAAGAAGGCGAAAAATGCCACTTTCATATCGGGCTCTGAAGCTAGCAAGATTCTGAAAGAGATTCAGAAGGTGGAAAAGAAGAGGATTGTTAAGAGCACTCTCTGTAATGAAAGAAGTTCCAGAAGTCACTGTATGGTATGTATGAATTCTTTCCGAGAGTTCATGAAGTTGAATGTAATGCCTAATTCCTTTCTCACTTTGAAAATTTTCTTTCTCTTCATATTTCCTTTCATACAGATTATCCTAGATGTTCCAACAGTGGGAGGCCGCCTGATGCTTGTAGACATGGCAGGATCAGAAAACATTGAACAAGCTGGGCAAACTGGCTTTGAGGCTAAGATGCAGGTTGGTAAAGTTGGCAAGTCTAAGTTGCCTTATTATTGTTCTAGAATCAATCTAAGGGAGGTTTTGAGATTGCCTTCATTTGGAATAAACAGACAGCAAAGATAAATCAAGGAAACACAGCACTAAAAAGGGTGGTTGAGTCAATTGCAAATGGAGATTCTCATGTGCCTTTCAGAGATAGCAAGTTGACTATGCTGCTCCAGGTAAAACTTCCTCAGAGTTTGGTGATGGGGTGCAATATCTGCTTTCTTTGACTCCGGATTTTGAGTTTCTCTTTCTTCTGTGGCGCAGGATTCTTTTGAAGATGACAAGTCAAAGATTCTAATGATTCTGTGTGCAAGTCCTGATCCAAAGGAGATCCACAAGACAATCTGCACTCTCGAATATGGAGCTAAAGCAAAGTGCATAGTCCGTGGCCCTCATACCCCAATAAAAGATACTGAGGACCCGAGTTCAGTCATGTTGGGATCCAGGATAGCAGCCATGGACGAGTTCATTTACAAGCTGCAACTGGAGAACAAGGCCAAAGAGAAAGAGAGGAAGGAGGCAAACAAACAGCTCATGAAGAAAGAAGAAGAGATTGCATCCTTAAGAGCCCAGATTGCAGTGCGGGAAGCTATAGTTCCAAGTGAAGAAGAGATAAACTTGAAGGTGAATGAGCGAACTCAGATGATGAAACTCGAACTGGAAAGGAAGTTACAAGAATGCCAGAAGGCAGCTGAGAAGTGTTTTGAGATAGAGAAGAAAAGGATGGAAGAGAAGATATTGCAGCAGCAACAAGAAGTAGAAATGCTGAGGAGACGATTGGAAGAGATTGAGCTGGAGGCAAGTCGTCCCAAGGTTAGTGGGTTGGAGCAAAGTGTTGCCGCAACTGAAGTGGATGGTTGCAGAAGCAGCTTTGCTAGCAGGCTGTTGGGAGCTTGTGGTGGGGACGACGAGGCAGGGATGGTGAAATCAATGGATCTGGACATGGGTGATCAAGAAGTGTTTGTGCGCGAGGTTAAGTTTGTAAACTCGGCTTCGAATCAGCCAAGCAGCAACATTGGCAGTCCTTATTTCCCTCCACAGAGTGATGCATATGGAACCAACTATGGCGATAAGTTTAGTCTCACCACTGTTTTTGAGGAGGAAGAAGTGGACGAAGAAGATGAACTACAACAAGCTGAGGAACAACAGGAGATGGAAGAGGAAGAAGAAGTTGAGAAGAAGGTTATAGAGGTGGAGTGGAGGAAGCCATCAAGTGAGGGAGAGGACAACAGCCAACTGAAGGAGGACATGTCCGAGGCGAGCAGGAAATTAAGAATCCAAAACATATTTACACTGTGTGGAAACCACAGGGAGCTATCCCAGACGCAGACCATCAACACACCAGTTGCTGCTGCTAAAGGGTTTCAGGAGGTTTATCCTGAGAAGGAGAACAACAACCCTCAACTCCCACTCACTCCACTTCTAGATAACAACAAACTCCCACCACTCACACCAAGTTCATGCTTGTCTTCTGAACAGATGACAGTGCAAGAAGACGATGGCTTCTCAGCTGAAATCGGGCACCTAACATCCACTCCTTTTATTACCAAGAGAAAGGCTCTACACTGATGGTCTTCTTTCTTATCCGGTAATCCTTTTTGTATCATGGGGCAAAATATCTCTGAGTATATGTGCCCATGTACTCCTGTATGCAAGCCTTATTGTTGTAGTATGGAAATGCTTGTATGGCCTATCGTTCAGCATCTCTTGCCATTCGATTGGAAATGAATCTCTTGCTATCTAAAACTGATCCACACAAGATATTCAGGGCATTTCTACCATTTGAATCTCTACTTCCTTTATTTGCACCAAACCCTCAAAGGGTTCAGTGTATGTCATTGTGTTTTGCTTCACAGTTTTAGCCAATTGGCAACAGATGAACAGAAAGATTGTAACTTTGTGAACAAGTACAAAATGAATGATTTCATTTATTATCAACTCTCAAAAGAAGTTTACAAGGAAACAGTAAACAACTCCTTTCCTCTCTGCCTTCTCCAAATCATTTTAAACACTTAATACAATGTTACATATATACCTTTCTCCAAATTGATACAAAGCTCTAGCTATGACGATGTTTAGAAAAACAAGAAAATTAAGTAAAGGAAGAAACTTTTGAACAGCAACAAAAAAGAACACAATTGTCAAAAAAAGGAACAACAACAAGAAATTTTTTTGGAGGGAAAAAACACTTCGATTGGGCAGGGGTACTCAAGCTTTCTAAAACCCACAAACAAATCAAACCACCGAGGTTTGTTTTCTTTCAATTTTTGTTTTGATTAATCAATTCATCACCTTTCATCTTGGTAAGCGTCCAAAACCGAGGTTAGATGGCCGGCGGTGTTGCTCTTGGTGGAGCCGCCGTCCGCCGTCGGAGGAAGCCCGTCGGCGGCAGCGGAATTCTCGCCGGGCTGGTCCTTCGATCTGGCCCTCGACTTCCTGGTGCGAGAATGCTTTGGGATGGACGGCTGGTCGGCGGCGCCGGTGGGGGACACGTCGCCCTGGTTGGAGGACGATTTCTTGCTCTTCCTCGATTTGACGCTGCCGCCGCCGGACGACTCTCGGGCAGGGGATCCCATGGTGTTGGAAGAGCGGTGGCGCCTCGACTTCCTCTCGACGTCGCCGGCCTTGGGCGAGCTCGCCGGAGAGCTGGCCGCGCTGCTGGCGTTCGACGGCCGCCTCGAGTGCTTCGGCGCGTCGCTGGATGAGCGCCTTGACTTGTGCTTGGACTTATTGGTTGACCCGCCGGCTGCAGCGCGGGAAAAAAAAGAGACAGAAATGCCGTTATCCGTTATCAGGTAGTAAAAAGTAATTTTGTCGCTATTATATACGGTAATTGACCAAAATGGTCTATAGGTTTGGGTTAGTAAAAAAATGGTCACAAATGTTTGAAACGTAACAAAAAAGTCACACAAGTATCACGATATAACAAAACAACAATTTCAAGTTAGTTGCTCTGGAAAAGACGTAGTATTATGGGTTGATTAGCCGTCTTATATATTTTTTTTAGCACTATGTCAACAAGCTAATTGATAATTTTGGATGTAAATATGGCTAAAACAAGACAAAATGACTGTATTGTTATATTGTGATACTTGTGTGGTCGTTTCAAACGTTTGTTACAATTTTGTTACATGTCCAAATCTATGTGACTATTTTGATCAATTACTCCTCTTATGCAGCTTTATTTTAGGGATGACAATGGGTCGGGGACGGATAGTGCATATCCGTTCGCCTACCCAAAGTAGTTCGGGTTTTACCCATACCCACATGAGAAACGGGTAGAAAATCCAAACCGTGCCCCATACCCGTTCGGATTTCGGGTATCCACGGTTATCCATGGGTAATAGTTTCTCTTTATAACTCCAACCAATATGTTAATATTTACACGTATTCTCACGTTAAGTAAGACGAAAAGTACGACAATAATTCACTAGAATGAAGAAAATTAATTAAAACAACATAATTTCATGGAAATATTATATTTATATGCTAAATATAAAATATGTTAGAGAAAAATATTGATTATTTATAGACAAAATACATATGCATGTGTATAATCGGGCGGGTTCGGGTTGGATAGTGAGAAAATCATGCCCACCCAATACCCGCAATATTCGGGTTCGAGTTTTACCCGTACCCACTAAAAACCTTTCGGGTTCGGATTTTACCCTACCTAATTAGGTCGGATTTGGACGGATATCCACGGTTACGGATATTTTTGTCATCCCTACTTTATTTTCTGGTTTCTGGGTTTCCTTCTTTTTATCCTAATATATTTTTCTTTAGTTGTTGGCCTCAAGGTTTGAGCCCAGAATGTAGTGGATATTCTCATCCTCAAAACAAATAATTAATTTTATGTATTCATGTTCTTGTCATAATTGACTATCTAAGCAAAAATTAAACCAATGCAATTCCTTAAAATAAGAAGTCAGGCAATGCATAAAGTGGGGAAAGGCAGGAGAGAACCTTCAGACTGTGCTTTTGGTGAAGGAAGGCTCTTGAGGTCATCTGTAGAATTCAAAGGGCCGCTCATGGATTCTGGGCTTGATTTGAACTCATTCATCTACATATATACAAATATAATATAAAACTCTTATTCAAATCGCAACAATGCTTTTCTTTAATGTCAGGTACGTATAACATATAACGTTATGTGACATACCCAACTTGGAGTGGTGGAAGAAGGGCCATCTGCTCCAATATGTGCAACGTGTTTTACATCTGTGGGAAGGCCGATCTCGAACTCTGGCTCTTTCTCATCTAGCAAAGAGAGAAACATGTTGGTTTGGGATGTAAATATGTTGAAAAATAATCATTAAAATGCTCTACAAGAAGGAAAAAGGAGACTCACCAAAGATGTTGTGAGAGATGGTATACCTAAGTCCTTTAAAAAGACCTTTCACTTTTGTCGTCATCTTTAATTATGCAAGGAAAATCCTGATAGAGAGCAACCGTAGTTATAAATTTTTTTATCACAATACCCAATCTAGAAGACGTTGAGAAACCGAGTTAGAAGGAGAGAGCCATAGAAAAAGCAACATTCTCGAGACACCATTTCCAAAGAGGATTTTTGTTGCTAAATAATGTTAACATTTCCTCTCTGAGAGACAAAATCAAGGCGATTGAGATTTACTTTTCTCTTTTTCTTCTTTTTTTCTCCCTTTATTTGTAGGTTTAGATTATGAACTCAGACAATTCTTGATTGTTGAATACCATCAACAACAATCAAGAAGAGAAAGAGGGAGATTGCTTTGGGTTGCAAAGGAACTAAAATCTCGAAATGTCGTGAAAGGCTAACACATGATTTTTGTTGGTGCTGATGGTTCCAATGAGAAACACCAATGCCCTTTTCCATTCTAAGCTCCTCTCCATCCCCTCCAACAGATATGCTATTTTTCAGCCCCAATTGACTAATAAAAGTCAGAATTTTGTTCTTTTATCTCGTCCCTTATTTTTCCTTTTTGTCTTTTGTTTTCTTTTGCTAATATATAAACATTAAAATTTTCATGAAACACAGAAAAAATCGACTTCCAACTTAAAAATATTTGTGTAACAATTATTTACGCGGTTGAATATACTCGAACATTGAACATATAATTGAACTATTATTGTCGCTTTCAAATTTTGAGGAGGCACAATGCAAACTAGCTTAGTTTTACTTCCTAGATACCATTAGCTACTAGATTTGGATACACATTCCACTACACTAAAATGCATGTTAATTTTAAGAGTTACAAATAATAACAATATAAATTTCTAGTTAATAGTTCAACATTTACTATGGCTCTCTTGTCCTCACCTCCAGAGTGGGTTACTCTCTACTCAAATGGCTCATTCCACCCTACTTCAAGTCAAGCAGCAGGTGGAGGTATGGTTCGAGATTATACATGATGTTGCCATGCAACATTCATTTTGAACCTTAGTAAAAGCTCCATTACTCGGGCATAGAGAGGTGTTGTAGAAGGGCTTCAGTTAGATTGAGATTTTGGATTCTGATATGTAAGAGTGGAGCTGGATTTCCTCTGTGAGGTTCAAATCTTACAGGGCGGTAGTGGGAAACACCTAGGGCTGTCGGTTCGGTTCGGGTAACCGAACCCGAAAACCACAAAAAACCGAAACCCGAACCCACCTCCCTCAAACCCGAAACCGAAACCGAATTCTGCGTTCTGCGGGTTTCGGGTTCAGAAACCCGAAAAATAGTTAGTGGTTTCGGTTCGGTTCGGGCGAACCCGAAACCGGAACGAGTTTTTTTTACTCTCTTCTCTCCACCGCCATCCAATGGCGCCTCCGCCAACCATTCTCCATTCCCGATCTACACCAATCTTCCTACTCCTCGCCGTTTTAATCCCCGCCGCGGCCTCAATCGACATCGCGTCCGTCCTCTCCCCTTACCCGGACTTCTCCTCCTTCACCGCCCTCCTCTCCTCCACCCCTTCCCTCGCCAACGAGATCGCCCACCGCTCCTCACAATTTCTTCTCATCAACTAAACCGAAACCTCACAATTTCTTCTCATCAAAAGTCTCTAATAATCAAGCATAAAACTCAGAATCACAATCACCACAAACCAAAATACCCACAACATTGCAAATAGCAGCTACCCACTAAAAATTACAGCCATCCCTCTAGTACACAGAAGAAACAAACACATAAACTGAAAGAGGGAAAGAGAAAACAGTAGCAGAACAGGGACAAAAAATCGATTCCCTTGCTCCTCCCTAAACCCAGAACGAGAAAGGTATAACAGAACGAGAAATGTATAACAAATCGATTCTCTTACTGGGATTCCATATGTGAGGTCAGAATTGAACAGGGGATCGCTTTCCAGCTCCCGAACCTGCAACACCACAAATCGATTCTCTTCCTGGGAACCCATGTAAACGAGAAACGAGGAGGAGTAAAACAGGGGAATGAAAACGTACAAGTTGGGGAGATTACAGGGGAGAGCAGAGATGTCGAGATTGAGGCAGCGAGTGAGGAGGCGTTTGGCCTGTCGTCTGATTCTGTCTCTTCGTCGTCGATGGGCGAGGACGATGATGGTGGCGACTGGCGAGGAGGCTCTGTTACGAGGCAAAGACGAAGAGACGGCGAGCCGACTGCAGGAGGTGAAGTCGTGAAGACTAGGGTGTGCAGTTTCGGGTTTGTGGGTTCTTTTCGGTTTTTCGGGTTTAGTAAACCGAAACCGATGCAACTTCATAGCGGGTTCAACCCGAAAAACCGAAACCATCACTGTGCAATTCGGTTCGGGTTCGGATTAACCCGAAAACCCGAAACCGAACCGACAGGCCTAGAAACACCACCAACGTACATCTAGCAATCATTGATTGATTTCACCATCTGCTACAACAGCATTGAGAAGTGACTATGTACCCTATCTATTGAGAGGATAATAAGTGCGTTGTCTATTTAGCGTTCTTTATTTGTCTTTAGATTTACATGGTATTTTGAGAATTGATCCTCAACTGTACCAGTTGCTTATGTACGATATTCAAGGGCTCTCCTAACCCCGATTGATTTCGGGATTTCATGCATCATTTCAAACCATAATTTGTAAACTTGTTCATCGAGCCAATTCTTGCATAAACACCTCTCTTCATATCAATGGAAACCAAAACAAGCAAGAATGGGATTTTACTATTTGAGTTTCTGATTGGGGGGTTTTGGAAGTCATTCATCCGAGTCGTGGTACGAGTTTAGAGTTTTAATGATCTTCATTCCCTAATTTACCTTCTATCCATTACATAGTTGGATTAGTTTCATGAACGTGGTTGAGAAATATAAATAGCTCGAAAATATTTACAAATATTTAAAATGGACTATGGGACGGAAGAATTTTCAAAGATAGATATCTGATAATAATCAACTGAAGCCAACAGTATTCAGTTATCAGTGACCCTCATCATATACCAGCAAGGATGAAGCTAAGTTAGGGAAACGCTGTGTTGTGGTGTAACATGTGATCCAAAGCATCTAACTTGAACACTCTCCACGATAAAAGGGGGAAAAAAATAGAGAAATGGTGCAAGTAAATCAAGTCACTCATGCTTCAACCATATCGTTTTCTTGCTTTGCCAGAGCAAATCTAGGAAGCCTTGAGGTCATCCATACCAACACTAGCCTGCACCAACAAATTGTTCAGTGAGCCGGATCACAAGGAGTTCGGAATATACTTGGTAAGTAAGTAACAAAGTAGAAGACATTAATCCATCTCTGATACAAGAAGTTCCTTGCATGCTTAAACTTTCGGGTTTCTTGATTCCTCTGGATGGGGTACATTCATTTTTCTCAAGTTGGGGGACACATAATTGACAGTTCGCTCACTTAGCTTGCTCTAAAAAGCTACCATATTCCGGCAAATCAGTGCATTGGTTATTACAAATTACTATGACAGAAGGAACAAACAGTCACTAGGTTCTCCATTTATCATATATTCATATTCTATTTTTATTCTATCATTTACCTTTCCTGTTTGCAATAGTGAAACATGAAGTTCTAAATGGTTTCATAAAGTTCCAGGATTAAGGTATATGGAAAACAAGACAGGCTGAGAAAAAAAAAAACCATACCAGGAACTTGTGATTCTCTGCAAGGAATGGGGAAAAGGTTGAACAGAAGCTATCTATGTCAGCATTGATGTCACCCTTTCCAGATATCACATCCATGAACTTCTTCCTGTCAGGAGCAAGCTTCATTGCAACCTGCAACAAATATTCAACATCAACTCCTTGTCGAAGCCAAATTAGAACTATAGAAAGCTACATGCTCTATAGGTATATAAAAATATGAAGATGTAACGATGCAAAAGGATGGATGGAATCTTAATCATTCATTCTCTGCTTGAGCAACTAAAAGGAAAGTAAGCCTAATTTAAACTCTTCCATCGACCAATCAAACCGTTCCGCAGGGGATATAGCATAAATGCACCTACAATAGCATTTTTTTAAAGAGCATATGATTTGAAATATAACTCAAGAGGGGTTAAGAACATTACGGAGAAACTCGAACTAGCAAGCCAGCCATGGAACTTTTTCAGAGTCTTGCTGTATGAATCTGTACAGGCTTGGCTCATTGTCCAATCTTGATGTGTAAGCAAATTGCGGAACAATTCCACCAGGAAATCCATAGCTCTGGTGGAGATCATAAAAGACAGCGAACCCTATGAACTTGGCGTCAATGTGAAAAATAGGCAAGTAGCAGTAGATTCCCCAACTTGAATCATATCAACAAATCTTTGGCAACTTGAATCAAGATGGCTCAAAGACCAAGTATTCAGGTGAGGCGAGGATCCTCTGTTCACTAACAACAAATCTGAAAAGAAAAGAATGGGACCCCATACCTGGTTAACCAAAGTAGACCATTAGTACAACTAGATGATCCTTTGGCTGTTTTGGCTTGAACCTCCTCTTGAACCATACTGTATAAGAGCTTGTATTTAGTTGGATCAGTTGAATACTTGGTTTCCAACCTCTACAATGAATAAACACACAACCATTCTGTTTCAGAACTCAGACTTCAAGATACAACCCAAAACGCTTGTGACTGGCAGCATACTAATAAGACATAACACGTAAATCAGAGTGAACATTACTCGAAAAGATCTCAGCTTTTCCCAAATTTCAAGAGAATATATAACAATAACAAACATTATTAACTACCAGTACAAAGATCTTACAGTGATATTGCCGCCAATATCAGATTTCACAATGGCCAAAGCAGCTCCAAACTTATCTGTCAAAATCATAACCACCAACATGAGCATCTAACAAGGCTATCCATCAACTACCGAACCCACGAAACCTTGGAATCTTCACCAATCCTATTTCATTGAGGAACTAACCGATCACGGGGAGGATCAATTTGCAGACATCCAGAAAAGGCTTGGTGAGCATTTCCTCTTTCTCCGACTTGACATGCTTCATCCCTTCCAGTGACGGAGCGAACACCGATCCTTCTCCGGCCATCTCACTATCTCTGCATTACCAATCAAAAGAAAAACCCACACAATCAGCCCAATTGCCGTCCGATCAGCGAGAGACATAGATAGATAGAGAGATCCGTACAGGAATTGGTATCAGAAGGCGATGAAGTTGCAGAAAAATGGAAATTTGGCAGCCGCGATTGACGGGGGAGGAGCAGATTGATTCGATTCGGGTGAGAGAATGGAGTGATTCAGAAGTAGAGTTAACAGAGGGGGGAGAATCAGATTCGATTCGGTTGGCTGACGGTGCCGTTTCTCTATTTATGTTTCTTTTCTACGCCGTTTGTCGGTTACTCGGGTAGCTGAACTGGAGGGAGAAGACGGAGTTACGGTAGCGTGTAACGGCGGGGTGGGCTAGATAGTACGGTCCAACTAAAGAGCCCAATTCGCAAAATTCCTACATAGGGCCTAAACATAAAAGGCCGAAACTCCGAGCCCAGATATACGACACTCGCCAGCATCTCCCAACCTAGGACCCTGTTGTTATAAGAACGCTCCCAATCCTGTAAAACCCTAATCTTCAACCTCTGCTCTTCTGCTCTTCGACTGACGGCCGTCGTCTCTGTTTCCTCACAGTCACACCCCTCACCAGACCGCACAGATGGTACGCTTCTCTCCGGATTGGTTCATCTATTCCTCTGTACTCATTTCCGACTCTACTTAATGGGGATTTCTGCTGCAGGGATTCAAACGATATGTTGAGATCGGGCGGGTGGCTCTGATCAACTACGGGAAGGAATATGGAAAGCTCGTCGTCATCGTCGATGTCGTCGATCAGAACCGGGTGAGTTACCATTTTTAGTCTCCTGGATTCTTCTGTAGATCAGTTTTTTTAGGTGCATAGTAGAAAATTGATTCTCCCCAGTACGCAATTATTGTGGATGGTTAGTTTGATATATCGGCTTATAGATATTAGGTTACGGGTAGTAGTCGGTTTAGGCGAACTACTTGTTTCTGCACCCAGTGGCTGATCTTTCTTGGCTTGGTGTCTGTTCTGTTTTTAAGACCTAATCTTTACTTTCGGAATCCTCGGAAATTCGGATTTCAAGGTTTAGCCCTCCTTCCCATTGCTTCGTTTGTCATTTGATTGGCCTGGAACTGGGTTTCGTAGCGGTAGAGTCAATGCATTAGGCTCTGAGCTCTCTAATATGTTTTTCACTACAGGCACTAGTTGATTCCCCAGATATGGTTAGGAGCCAAATTAACTTCAAGAGGCTTACACTCACCGATATCAAGATTGAGATTAACAGAGTTCCCAAGAAGAAGACGCTTATTGAAGCCATGGAGAAGGCTGGTAGGTTATCTTTTCTCTCATAAAACAGAAAGTTTGGAAGTGCTCTCATGTATTATGCTTGACTCCTGATGACTGTAAATCTTTGGCGTGGTAGATGTTAAGGGCAAGTGGGAGAACAGCTCATGGGGTCGCAAATTGATCGTTAAGGAGAGAAGGGCTGCCCTTACCGACTTTGATAGGTTCAAATTGATGTTGGCCAAGATCAAGGTTTGTGTTACAAAAACTCTTTCCCTGGGTCGATTAATTTGATTGTGTTTGATCCGATTGGAAGAATGCCTGCTTATCGGAATCTTCTACCATTGGTAATGTGCAGAGAGGAGGATTGGTCAGGCAAGAGCTCTCCAAGCTGAAGAAGGAGACCGCCGCTTAGGACCTCCCACAGTATTATTTTCTCTATTTTTGTTGGTAGTCTGCAAGGGTTGTGCCTCTGGGATGTTGTTTCGTTTTCTGTTTCAGATATACATTGATCAGCTGAAGGGATTTTCTTTTTGTGATATGAAACGAGGGACCCATTTTGTAGAAGCTAAGAGTGCAATGTTTTTGGCGTGTTTATTGCTATTCATATCGCCTTGCTGTTTCTCGTATTCATAAGTAGATCTGAAGGTTTCAATTTTGTCGGTGCAAATTTTTGTTCTCTCTGTTTACTTTCATTTCTGTTTCCTGTTTTTGAGAAAACAGATGTTGAAAACAGGTGAAAACGACATTTTTTCGTTTTCGAAAACAGTAGGAATTTGCCACTTTCTGTTTTCAGAGTTGGAAACGAATGGAAAACAGAATGAAAAGTAAACATGTTTTCTCGTTTCGTTTCCCAAATTTGTAACATGAAAACAGAAAACAGGAAACGAAAATGGAAGTGAACAGGGCCTTAGTTTCTTTTCTGTTTTCTCAAACAGATGTTGAAAAAACAACATTTTGTCGTTTTTGAAACAGCAGGTAGCTGCCATTTTCTGTTTTCGGAGTTGAAATGAATAGTAAACAGGTTTTTTTCATTTCAGTTGCCAAACTTATGACATGAAAACAGGAAACACTGGAAACGAAAATGGAAGTGAACAGGAACTAGGTACTAATTAATGCCCCAAGTTTTTTAAAATTTGTCGCCCTAACTTGACAATTTGACTCTGCCCTCAAAATTCCAAATCCCTAAAAAAAATTCGCCTTAGGAATAACGCCATCGCCGCCTTCGTCCGTGGAAGTCTTCGCCGACTGGGAGTAGTCGCCGTCGCTCCAGTCTCCACAAAATCTTCGCCCTATGATTAACATCGTCGCCGCCTTCGTCCGGGGAAGTCTTCGCCGGCTGGGAGTCTTCGCATCGCTCCAATCCCCCCCTAAATCGACATCAGTTCAGCGTAGCCGCCTTCATTCCTTTGCTTGTTTTCCTCTCTCCTTCCTCAACAGCGACGGACGCCTCCATCCTCGATTCTCCCAACTTTTGTTGGCGATCGACGGAATTTGCATATGAGTGCGGCGAGATTAGGTCGATGGATCGGCGGTGGCTTTTGGGATCTGTAGTAGTAGTAGTAAGTAACAACATCAGTTGGGAGAATCGAGAGAGGGAAAGGAAGGGAGCAGTTTCCGTTTGGAACAACAACGATGGTGATAAGGATGATGATGACGACGACGGGTGAAAGAGCAGATAATATCCGCTCGCTCACCGTTGTTCAGAGACTTTTGATTTTAGCCGGTGACCGGCGGGGGAAATCATTGGCTACGCAGTCGTCCGAATTTTGGGAATTGGGGGATTTTGGGAATTGGGGAGGTTTAGGGATTGAGGGTAGATTTGTCAGTTTAGTTATTTAGGCTAACTCCAACCCACAAAGTCACATTTGACTCCCCAAATAGCTAAATATTGCTTTTTAGCTCCTCAAATCCCATTTTCACTCCAACCCTACAAAAAGCTAAATTTAGCTTCCCACATTCATTTTTCAATTTATTTCAATAAACCATACTTATTTGACCTTTAGTTTTTATATTTCACTTTAATTTTAATAATTCGTTATTACTTTTGAAAACAAAAATTTTGATGTAATTTTTTTTAAATTCCGAGACAATTTTTTTTTTTTGAAAAATTAGTAGCTAATTTGTTACCGTTAACTTCGGGACCACTCCAAATATGACCATTTTCTTGTAGTCGTTATTTTAAGACCATCTTGTTTGCTTGTAGATTGTATTGCATGTTTCAATATTAATTTTACTTCTTGCTGCTTGGTTGTTTGTATTTCAAGTTTCAGTGTGATTGTATTTCAAGACCGTTTTTTATGGTTGTTAATATATGATCGTTGCAAAGTGATTGTTGTTTCGTCACTACGTCAATTGATTCTCATTATTATTTAAATCACACCAACAAAGCAACAACCAATCACAAGTGAAGAAGGATAAGGAAAAAAAAAAGAAAAAAGGGATTTGGCCACATGGAGTGACAAACGTGGGCCCAGTACCCACTTTTTTGCCCAGCCATAAATGGCTTTCTTCCCAAATCCTAGCCAAATTTAGCTCCCAAAATCTCAATACCCATATTTGACTCCCTCTTTTTTTGTGGGTTGGAGTAAGAAAAAGAGTTATATATGGCTTTTTGGCTTTTTTGCTCCTTGGGTTGGAGCCAGCCTTAGGGCGTTAAATTTTAAAAAGTTAGGGCTTTGAATAGGAATCCAGTTGTTTAGTACTAACCAGAAGCCAGTGATTTTCCTTCGGGGTAACAACTTCTGCTTCTAGACCAGAAATAAGTCATCTTTTGTTTTTAAGCTCTAAAATCAGAAAGTCTGAAACTTTTACTACTACCATAGCAGACGAAACAGGTTATTCGGGCTGCCTTGCATTGAAGAGTGAAGAGAATCAATAACCTGATCATACCTGCAGGCGAAATGGAATGGAGGAGAAGCAAAAGAAAGCATAGGGAGAGGGAAAAACTCCAAAAGAAATGAAAAATAGAAAAAAGTAAAGTTTTTCTCTGATATTTGCTTCCACTTCAAGTACCCAAATAGAGGAGTTAGGGATGGTAATGGGTCGGGTTGGGTCGGGTTTTGCCAAACCCAAATCCATGGGTTTATCTTTGAAAAAAACCCGGGGTAAAACCCACCGGGTTTGAAAAACTCAAACCCAACCCAACCCAACCCGTTGGGTATCCGCGGGTTCATGGGTACCCACGGGTTTTTTCGTAAAAAATTTACAATTACAAGTTCTTATCAAAATTAAAGTCAAATACCAATCTCTCAATATAAATTATCCATATATTAAACACCATTCTAGAAAATTCAAGCAAATCGCAAATTAACTATACAAATTGTTCAACACCAATCTAGAAAACTCATGAAAATTGAAGCAAATCACAAATTATCCATAAATAACATGTTTAATTGAAAGCTTCTTTCTTTCAATTAAGTTTCTTTAGTCTCCACTCCATAACATCAACTTCATTCTACACAATTAAAAAGAAAAAATTAGACATGTCTCCACAAACATAAATAAGAATAGTTGTTTACAATATTAAATATACCGAAAAAATTAATTATATGAGTGGGCGGGTACCCACGGGCCGGGTTTACCTAAACCCAAACCCAACCCAACCCGGTGAATAGTGAACGGGTTTAAACCCAAACCCGGCCCAAAACCCGTCAACACGGATTTTACCCGCGTTGACCGGGTTGGGTCGGGTGGGTACCCGTGGGTTCGGGTTTTGTTGCCATCCCTAGAGTAGTAGGATTGCCATAAACTTCTTCCCGGAGGTCACTACATCCTACCAATCCCCAACAACAATGAACCAGCCATCAGCTTTAGGGTCACTTCCTGCTACAGATTAACGATGAAATGGTCGTTTAAGACAACCAACTCCCTAATATTCAACATAATGGAGCAGAAACCAATTCCCTGATGAACTTAAGGGTGAGGGATGATAATATGCATCTCACTGCAAAATTGCAGGACTGTAAATACAAATACATGCTGCACGCTTCTACGCAGAAAAAGATGCCGATTTCAGTGGGCCTACAGAATCCCTGTTAACAATTCATTCACAAAGTTTACTCCTCATGTCACCGGATAGACCAGCTGCAAAAGCAGAATGTTTCAGATTTCAAGGAACCATTGCACTGGCATCATCTTCCTCGCCTGCTACCGGGGCTTCACTGAACATGTACTCATTCTGATACTCCATCAAGTACTGTGCTGATCTCTTCACGTCCAGGAACAGATTGTAAACTCTGGTAATGTCTTCACTCTCCACAAGCTTTCCTTTCCGCTTCAGGCATGCTAATGCAGCTGCAGTAATGAGATGGATGGCATATCTTAATGATGTTTCTCCACCTATATGGGTGAGCAGTGCCTTTGCTTCCTCAGACATATCCACCTCTTCTTCTTGGCACCTAATATCCAATATCTTGCGGATTTCATCTTTCGAGTAAGGTTGGGTGGTGATAATAAGAAGGCGGTCGAGCAGGTCTATTGGAATTCCATGCGGAGATTTGTAATTTGTGCCTCTAATTGTGGTGATCCCTCTGTTGGTGGCCACAACTAGGATGGGAGACATCTCATTCTCGAGAGCACGGTTTAAGAAAGAGAAGCACTCGATATCGAGCATGTGGACTTCATCAATGAACAGGACACCGGGCACAATCTCTGCTTTCCCTTCTTCCCTCCATTCTGCTACCTTAGTGTCGATTTGCTCCCTGACCTCAGCACGAATTTCGCCAGTGTCACCGGTGAATAGAGCTAGAAATCCCTGTGTTCTGCAAGTGCAAAATGTACAACTTAAGAAAAGCATAACAAGGCTAGGTAGAAAACGTCTATGAACACAAAAAAGAACACACGAAGAATTAAATTTGCATGCCACAGAGCTCTTAGATATTCATAAACCATCAGATCTATGTAGACAAATCAAAAGCACCTCCATTAAAGCTGATGTGAATCCTCTTTGACTATGGAACACACGTCACACACAACTTTAGTTAACCATGATGAACTATAAACAGCCATTTGAGGCTGAAATAAAGACAAAGGGTACATACTAGAACAGAAATCTGAGTCCTCTTTGATTATGAAGCAGTAGAACACAGACACCTAATAGACGGACTGCAGTAATCAGCAAACGCTATCCAAAGCTTCAGCCTTTATACAAGTCTTTTTGTGCAGAAATGTACCAGACATTAATAAATCACCCAAAGTTTCTATCAAGGAAACCAGAGAAATGCAACGGCTGAACACCCCCTTTTTGGGTACTAACAAGAAACACCCCTTAAGTTCTAACAGTAGCTCTAAATTCAGAAGCCAAATCCATAGTTTCTAGACATATAAATCTCTTCAGAGTATAGAATGTCGGGAGCTTTACCTGCTGTTGATGACATCAATCTCATGGAGGGTAACACAATGCACAACCTCCTTCCTCTTCTGAAGCTCACCATCGGGGCACTGAACAAACTTCACCTGCGGCCCCATAGCATCATAGTCTCTCGACCTCGCGAAGGATCTCCCAAGCTTGGTGATTTTCCCGGACGCTTTATCAATGGCGATAACATCCCCACTCTGCACTTTCTCCTTCCCTAGAGCCTCAATCATCTTGGCCCCCAGGTCATACACAGTCTCCATCTCCGTCGTCTTCAGCGTCAACTTCCCAGTCTTGGACGCCGCACCGGCCACCGCAGGCCTATCAATTTGAACTTCAACCACTTCGCCCTCTATTATCTCCGTCTCCTCCTTGATTCTCACCCCAATCGCTTTCCGTAGGGCTTGCATCAGGGCCTCGGTCTTGGACATCTCGAGGGAGAAGATTTCGCTTCCGGAAATCATGGCGAACGGGGTCTCGAGACCTAGGGATTTCGCCATCCCCATTGCGATGGCTGTTTTCCCCGTGCCCGGTTGGCCGGCGATGAGGACTGCTCTTCCGGCGATTTTCCCGTCCTTTATCATCTGAAGGATGACACCGGCGGCTTTGCGGGCGGAG